CTCCTCCTCCTCCTCCTCCTCCTCCTAGAGCTGGCTTGCTTCTGCTTAGCTCCCTAGGTCTGCACCTGCCTCCTGAAAAACACCTTGCACGAAAGTTTTGGAAGCATAGTGGTTGCCATTTTCTGCCCCAATTTCACTATTCGCTTGCTTCAAGAGTTTTCCTCAACCTAAAGGCTCAGAATCTAGTTTTGATAGTAGCCAGGGAAGACCACTGGTTCAGATGTGTGTTTGTAGCCTTCCTTCTGTGTCTCCGAGCCTCGAACTCTGAGGACAGGAATGGGCATCTCAGAGGACGGCTTAGCGGTCTTAGTCTACTGGGAGCAACAATAGTGGACTGAGGGTTGCTTCCTCCTTACAAAATAAAAAGAGGAATGCAGTTGCTGCAACAGGACAGGAAAAGATTGGGCAGGAATCACATGAGAGGCAATCAGTACCTCAGGGCAGTGCCCCAAAGCCCAAGGCAGCCCTTCCATCATCATCAGTATTTCAGTGTTTGTGTGTTCTAACAGCTGGAGGGTTTTTTTTTTTTTTTTTTTGGTGGTACCAGAGATTGAACTCAGGACCTTGTGCTTGCCAAGCAAGCACTTATTCCACTGAGCTATCTCCCCAGCCCTAGGTGGAGTATTTCTTGCTAAACTTCTAGTTATTGACTCTATTTCTTCTCAGGGATGCTAACTAGTAAAAATCTGTGATACTGTGAAAACCTAGTCAGATGCTCACTGAGTCCTCTCTTTCCCAGTTAAACAATTTTCAGACCCTACAAATATCCTTCTTAGGAAGCATGAAGTGCCTTCATCAGTCTGGTCTGATTCTTCCATTTGGCCAGTGACCCTTTAAAGAGGACACTTGGAACTAAAAACAATCGTTAAGGAGTTCTTATGGTTTATAAAGATTGAGTCAATTGTAGAAATTAGTTTTTTCATCATGTGCTTATTTTTTAATGATAATTTCACAGATCTCAGAAATCCACATTGCATATAACTGACCTGGATCTGCCTACATCTTCCACCTCACTGATCTAAGCAAATAATGGAGTGCTTGCTGTAAATGTCATCATTTTTCCAAACTGATGCTTCTTAGACTCCTAGGTGACTGGGAGGAGGTTTCTAGTGGACCAATCCAATTCTTTACAGGTGCCCTGAAAGAAAAAGAAGCTGCTAAAGGCTGTTTAGTAAACAATGGTAATGTCACCACCACCATCTTAACCCATGAACCTGTGCATGAGGAGAGCTCAGGGAGAACTCCCATTCTGAACATGCTGCTCAAACTCCACCCTCTGGCCATCATCTCTATCCCTCCTCTTCTAGCAGCAGCAGCCTGAAAGTCTCAGCAGCTGTGAACAGCCCCTGGGCATTAGAGGAATCAGATTAATATCATGATTTAGTTTTCAGTATGATTAAGGATGCTGAACAAGGTCCAAGTTGGGCTCAAGGGTATCAGGGACGTGTTCAGAAAGAGGGGCCTGATTTCTTTGCTCAGACACCAGCCTCCATGTCTCTCCTTCTCTCTGTGTGTCTGCAGTTCCCTCTGTGCTGCACAGCTTCATGAGGAATCAAGAACGCACGAAGCAGCAGACCATTTACCAAAGTGACTATGGGAAAGCCTACCTGGACTTCTTAATGATCCTGAGCTCATTCACTCCCTCTCAAGTCAATGAGTACCTGCAGAGTGTTTCTTACAAGGGTAAGGTGAAGTCTTAAGTTAGCGTTTCATGCATTTATAGACCTTAACACATTCCCTTATGCCACTTAGCAATTGTTTTAATCTGGAGGCTTTAGAGTTCACCAAAAAGAAAAATATTGCCTGAGCCTCAGCTGGACCACATGACACAAAACAGGGTTTGACCCCACAGTGCTCTTAAAGCTGGACACAGCAGATGATCTGTCAGGTGCAAGAAAACTCCGAGAGCCTCTACTTATATTGGCTCTTGCATTCCTCCCTTAGGACAATCTGTTTCTAAAGGACTTACTGTACTGGAGTAGCGGTAGATGGGCACACTTGTGGTTCGGAAGAGGCCCCTGGAATGTGAGCTCTTACGCGGGGAGTGGCAGTGCCTGTGATGCCCGGCAAAGTGCGCTCGGACACAGGTGTGGGGAGAGTCTTGTTTTTTCCCATTCAGGCTCCTTTCTTCCGTGAAAGCATGTGTGACGTGTTCCCGGTTAGACTGGCCACGGGCCCCGAGATACTTCCAAGTCTCGCCCCATCACTTAGCTCCAAAATGGGACAAGTCTTCGTCGTGCAAAGTGACCCCCACCCTTAGAATAGAACCTTCTGTCCTTGCCAGTGTGAACTATGAAGGCTGTCGTGAGCCTTAAACTGCCTGTCACAAAAGTATCACCAAATCGGAAAAAATAAGCAAAACCAAACCCTGGGATGATACAGTCACTCGCTGGATAAATACATTAGCTATAGAAAAAGCAAGTGAGCCAAAGTAATTCAGCCATGGGCAAAACAAGATCAGAAATTGGTGAAAAAGTCTATGTCTTATGTTTAAGAAGTGGATATATTATCGCTGGAGCCTCTTTAGAGACAACATTTGCAATGGATTGAGGATTTCACAGTACAATGAGGTTTTTTTCAAGCAATATTTTTCTTTTTGGTGAATAAAAATATGCTACTCCCAACAAAACTGAAACCTTCTCATAGTTCAGACTCTGTGTGTGTGTGTGTGTGTGTGTGTGTGTGTGTGTGTGTGTCCACGTGTGCATACTGGAAGAAAAAGAGGTATGTCTACCCTTTTAAAAGTGTTTAACTATTAGATTTCAGGGAAGTGCAAGAAGCAGATGTCTTGCCTTCTATGAGGGCAGAAGGACAGTATGTGTATTCTACTGAGAGTCTCATTCCTCTCAGCAGAAGCCTCTGGGCCAGTCTGACACTTCAGAAAGAAACCAGCAGGCTCAGGAACTGCGCTGGTACCATCCTCCCCAAAGGCAGAGTGGAAGGGTGACTGCCTTCCTGCTCTTTCCCCAGCTTTGGTGCATGTTTATAAAATCATCCTCTGCATTTTACAAAGAGCTCACCTTACCTCTAGGAGCCATATCTGTTGGACAGTACAGCATGAGGATTTCTGTCTTTCCTAAGCAGATGCTCCCATCTGCCCAGAGACTGGCCGATACAGACACTGCTTCCAGCTGTGTGGAACCCTGGTGGCTGCCAGGCATCTTGGTCTCTTGTTTGTGTGTCATGTACAACTTGAGCTGTGGCAGTACCCTTACTTATGAAACCTCTGCTCAGCTTGGCATCAACATTCTCCAAAATGCCTACAGCAAAATGGCCTTTCTAGTCAGCACTACCTGCCCACTCAGTCAGGTTTTCCTCCCCACACAGGTGATATACGACCTACTAGCTATCAAGGTAACATTAAGATGGTTTAGGTTTTGGTTTCTTCCTGAGTGTTCTATTTCCTGGTTCCCTTAGGGTAGCACTGGAGATAGCTAAAGAGGCTCATAGCCAGAGCTTTTCCATTACATGCTGCCTTGGGCTAATAGAGAGAGGCTCCCCATGGGTTTTAGCTTTTCTTTCCCAGCTCTGCTTTAGAACGGCTCACTCATCAATGCCAGCTATGATAGAGGCCAACAAGTATGTCTGTATGTCCAAACCTCATGTCATTTTCTTCTGTCAGGATGACATAAGTGCTTTCTTCTTTCAACTGTACTCCTATGTGGAGCGGTTAAGCCAATAGGATATAAATAGAATATAAAATACCTGGCAGAAGTCTAAGGCTGACTTATCAACCCAGCTTAAATCATTTTACTGGATGGTTCCTTTGTAGGTAGTAGGTCCTGATAGAATAGGAACCTAGTACAGAAGCATTTTCAGAGAGAGAGAGAGAGAGAGAGAGAGAGAGAGAGAGAGAGACAGACAGACAGACAGACAGACAGACAGACAGACAGACAGACAGAAGTCTGGGGGGGAAGGGGCAACGATGGGAAAGGGAAGAGTGTGGAAGAGAGAGGAGGAACAAGAAGTGAAGGAGGAAGAGGAGGACAGAAATCCTTCCCCTTAGATAATAGTTTAAATCAGGGGGGGGAAATGGCAGCATGACCATGCTAGAGAAAACTTCAAGAAGGCAGAAGATAAATAAAGCTGGGGAAGAAGAAAGGAGGAGAGAGCAGATGAAGGTGAACCTTCTGTGTCCTTTAACTCTGTATGCTACCAGTATTTTATGCAAGTTGAACATCCCTAATTCAAAAGTCAGATTCCAAAGGCTTTGAAGCACTCGCACCATGCAATATCACCGACCTCCTGTGTGGGTTGCTGTGCTTGAAAAATGCAGGCACACTAGAAGTATTCTATAAAAGTTACTTTCAGGCTGTGTATACAAGGTGCATATGAAGCATAAGTGAGTTGCATGTTTAAACTTGGGTCCTATCTGCAGGATATTTCATTGCGTTTATGAAAATATTCCAAAATCAAAAATATCTAAAATTTGACACTTTTGTTCCAAGCATTTCAGATAAAGGATGGTCAGCCTATGTATCCAATTTATTCATAACTTGAGGATATTAACCCAGGTGTCTTTAGTAGCCAATCTATTTTTTAAAAATGATTTTGCCTCCTAAATCTGATTCAGATCACACCGGAAGCTTACTCTTAGAATTGCGTATCCATTAGTTAAACACTGTGATCTACTCACTTCAGATAACTACCCAGTATGCTATGTCTGGTTTCCTATGAACTTCCTCACTGTGGCTCCCTTTCCTTTCTTTCTCCAAGCAAAATTCCCAGGAATATGGCAATCCAGGAGTGAGCGATTTCTCTCTAGTCTGTGATTCAGCACTAGCAATACATTTATTTACGTATTCAATAAACTTCATTGACTAAATACCTGTAATACTTACTAGATATAAGAGACAAATAAGGAAATAAACCTATTTGATCAAGGAACTCATTGTCTGAGATGGGATCCAGATACATAGCTGTACTACCCCAAGTTATAATCAAAGTGCTCTTTGGTGAGACAAGAAGCCTGTGCAGGTTCTTTTTGCTTTTAGATGCACAGATGGGAATTAACCGAGCTTCGGGGCTCCACTCTACTTTTTTCTAAAGTGTGTTATTAAAATGAGGGAGTCGTGTTCAGAAGTGCTCCAGAGGCCTTCATTTCCCACAACGGGATGGAGGGAAGGGAGCTGCCGAGCTCTCCCGGGGCCAGCCAGTTGTGCCCATGGGTGGTGCAGCCGGAAAAATGTCTGTCCCCAAAGCACTAAGGGATGGAAGACAGCCCTGACCTCTGTGAAAACTTTGGAAAAAGGCTCCATTGTTCACCATCCCTATTTATTAATGAGTAATAGAGGATGAGGTGCAGATTTATGAAATATCTCTGTCGGGCTAGGCTCTGGGAAGGTGTGTCATGCACAGTGTCCTTAATCCACTCCAACAGCAGTGCAGAGTGCATGCCGTGAGCTCCATTCACAGACAAGGAGAGACGGAGGGGAGAAGTTCAGCAGCCCCTGCACACTCACCGGGGCAGGGCTGAGCCCTAGGTGGGTTTCATTCTAAAATCCACATTCTTTCCCATAAGGCTGCAGATATCTTGAATATCGAATTTACTCCATTTAATAATTACACAACAATGCCTCTTTAGGTATTAGACATAATGCCCATTGGTTCTTTAGAATTCTTATCAAATTCATCAATATAGAACTATTATCAGTTATTTTCCTCCTTCCTAGAGTTGTTTTAGTTAGTATTTTAGTACTTTAGTACTTTGCTTTGGTGCATTTCTGAAAACTGAGCCTGGGCTTTATATTATATTTTTATTAGTTGTGTGGAAATTTTCTTCCTGTTTTTCTTGTAATTTTCAGACAGACAAATACTTGACCACTTTATCCGTTCTCACCGTGACATCAACAAAGGGAAGAAATGAAAATAGCTTACCTGAAAACCTGAAGATTATTGGAAATACAAAGGCCTATCTATTCATTTTGTCAAAAATTAAGGAAAAATAAGATGCATTTTGCTTCAAATATGGTGTGATAGTTGTGAGTTTATGTTTTACTTTTATACAATAAAATATTTAAGACTACAAATATCCTCCTGAATATTGCATTCCTTGTCTCCAATACATTTGCTATAGTATTTTTTTTCCTCCCTCTTTTGGGTATTTTTGATTTTTCTTTTGATTTTTGTTTTGAACAAGGAGTTATATGGAAGACATTTATTAATTTATCAAAAATTAGAACATCTTTTGTTGTTAATTTATTTTTGAATGAAGTAAAGTAAAATAAAATCCAATTTGGGAAGTTCACCAGTAGTCTCTAATGCTTTTAATAAGTTCTATGATTTATATGTGTGTTTGTGTGTGTGACATGAATATAGGAGAAAAAAATTTAATTTTTGTTTTCAAATATTTTGCATCTTTGCCTTAATAGTGTATTTGAGCTGTAATGTTTTGAAGTAATATTAAGAATATCCTGCCATTAATGTTTTTATTAGTTTCTCCTTGCATTTCTTGGATATTGGCTGCAGTTATTTTATTTATTTATTTATTTATTTATTTATTTATTTATTTTTTGGGGGTGCAACTGGGGATTGAACTCAGGCCCTTGTGCTTGCCAGGCAAGCGCTTATTCTACTGAGCTATCTCTCTGGCCCTTGGCTGCTGTTATTAATTATATGAAGCTTTACTTATGTCCTCTGCAGAGTGTCTTCACTGATAAACAGTTTCCTTATTCCATGTTTACATGTGTGGCAGTTAAGCTAATTGTGACAAATCAGTTGGCTTAGGAGCCCCTGAGGACATTAATACAAGACACTCACAGGCTATGCCTGGCTGGCTCAGGGAGCTATGGTGCTGTGCTATAGCTGGCCCTTGGCCTCTTGCTCTCTGGCACTGTTCCCTTGCCTTCTTCCCCACCACCATGAACTGAGCCTCTCCACACCACTGTGTGCTTCCTCTGTGGTGCTTCTGCCTTCAGCCAGCTGACCTTAGATGGAATCTAGAGAACCTGCGAGGCAGACAAAGGATCTCCCCCTCCAAGGTGTGGGTGTTGGGTAACATGTCCCAGACACTAACGCTGACTAATACCACATGTTTCCTCTTTGTCATAGTTAATGTTTTTGACTTCGAATTGCCTTTTCTTTTCTTCATTTCTGTAGCTTGTACCCATGGTCTCATGCATGCCAGGCAAACTTTCTAACACTAACATACATTCTCAGCCCTAGGCTTTTATTTTAGATGATATTATGGTTGCCATTCATGCTGAGCTCCCCTCCCAACTTTGGATTTGTTTGGTATAATGTTACACCCCTTAACTTCTAGTCTTTTTAATATATATAACCTTTGTTTTGGTACATTTTTACAAATTGTGCCTGGGCTTTGTATTATACATACTATGGCAATCTGTGTCTTAGTAAAGCAACTTAGTCTGCTGTGATTGTGATATTTTACATTTTTAACATATTCTTTGCCTGCTCCATTAACTGTACCTTAATTGATTATAGGTTTTCTCTTCTCCTTCAACTTATTTAGTGCCTAAAAATGGGTAGTATGAATTACTTGTCTGGATGCAGAAAGTCATCCCATGTATGAGGTTTGTAGAACTTGTTGGTAGCTGGTCACTCTAGAGTCAAAAATTCTATTTATAAACATGGCATTGGGACACACTCTTTAACAGACCCTTTAGACACTGTGGTAAACTGATCTTTGTCTCCAGATCATTTCTGTCTGTCTCTACACCGTGGCTGTGTATGCTTCAGTCTTTCTTAAAAAGCTCTTGACTGTGACCTTGTCCACATGACTTTCTTTGTCCAAGATGATGTTGGTAGACATAAACTTTGGCTGCTTACAGATTGCAGGAGATGAGACAGACATGTGAAAGAAAGCCACTCCAGTGACCCACAAACTGTGAGAAATAGAAGCTTTTGGTCTCATGCCTCTGAGGCTGAGGGCACACTAGCCAAGAAGTACAGGCACAGTGTTTGTTTGGGTGACATCTCCGTGGAGCCTTCAAAATGAGATGAAAGGCTTGACAGAATCAGTCTTCTCTCTTAAAAACACTGTCCAATTGCTACTCACAAATCTCTGTGTAGAAATTGTGTTTTAAAATGAGGAGGGCGGAGCCTGCTAAGTGGTAAAGGTGTTCTGAACACTGAGCGCTTCAAATGTTATCATTAAGACCACAGAACACTGCTTACATTCACAAGTCGGAAGAGGTGAATGATTGCTCTGGTAGGGTTTCTTCGAGGGGAACAGATTGGCAAGACCAGATCCGCATCTGAAATGATGTCATTGGATGGTACTGATACTTGCTTCATTATACTTCAAGAGCGTAGTCTTCAATATGATTGTGATTCTGAGGACTTTTCTTGTTACCTTTCCATGGCTCTTTAAGTTTCTTTCTGCACTCCTGCAAACTTTACCCCAACACACACACACTATCCAGAAGCACAGGTATGTGTGGGAAATGGTTATGTTTTTCAGAAACAGGTTTTTTTATTTTATTTTTAACCTCTTGGGACAGTTTACATAAATGTATTTAGCTTTGTTCTATTTTGTTTCAAAAATGCTTTCATAAACAAAAGAGCAGAAAAGAACATCACTTTAAACCAAAGACTTCAGTAATTTATAAGATAAAATTTGGCAGATCATATGCAGTTGAGTTTTCTTTGTGTGCTAAAACCTCTCTGTACTGGAGACATACAGGCGGGAAGCAATGTTTCTCACACACCAGCTGTGTGATGGGAGTGGGATTTGGCCCATTTCGTGGCAGTTACCTCAGATATCCTGGGAATAGGGCCTGACAGCAATGGCTACTGAAGTCTCCTGGCTCTTCCAGTGCACAGCAAAGAGGAAAAGCCCCTGGCCTAGAGGAGCAATCTCCAGGGCAAGTCATACCTGCTGAGGTTCAGTTGGTGGTGTAGTCAAGGGCCCAGATGGAAGCAGGTGCTTTAGGGATACGCTCACCTGCTGAGGACACGAACAAGGATGAGGTCCCTACAGACTAGGACTGAGGAGGCTGGAACTTCCTCAGGCTTGGACAGACAATAGGACTGGAACCCAGTGTCAGCCATAGCTATAGAGGAGCTTCTGTCCCCTGAGAAGCATAGAGCCAGGCCTGGAGACATGATACAGGAGAAATGCACTAAGTAAATAAATATCATCTAAGTGAGGGATGTAGCTTAGTGACACAGCACATACTTAAAGAAAATCCAAGGTACACATGACTATGACAATTTAAATGTTATCCTTTATACATTTATTTTAAAAAATTTTAAGTCATATCTGCCAGATATCACGCTATACTAGATTCAGAACTGAAGGATGCAATATTCTTAAACATTGATGGCCTGGTGGATAACACAGACAAGTAAGCAAATGTCATGAACTTTAGGACAGCCCAGCACCCTCAGTAGTGGGCATCTTCTCACCCCCAACTTCAGCAATGGGTTCCAATGTCAGTTGAAGACTTATTGTGTCCTGCCTGGGCTGGTATCATAACAGGGTGACACCTCTCCTTTCTGGCATCTCTAGCTCAGCAGCACAATCTTCAGTGGGATTCAAGCTGTTTGCTCTTTCCTGTGCCTGCTCAGGTTTTAAGAAGATGCATCCAAAGGACTTGCAGTCTCTCTTCTAGCCCTTTGAGAACAACCAGTGTCACACAATAGAGGCATGCAAGGAAGATCCCCTGGGACATGGGCTATTTATTTCTCCATTTGACTCAGGTTGGATTGAGCTGGACTCCTGTCACTCACAATCAGTGGAGTTCTAATTAATCCAGACACTTCAAGAAAATCTGAAGCAGTGCCAGCCAGATAGCTCAGTGGATTAAAGTGCCAGTTTAGGCAGACGCAGGGACCAGAGTTTGATCCCTGGCATGCTGGGCTGGCTCCACCCCTGGGGCGTGCTGAGATGGCAATTGAGACTGGGCATGATGGCGCCCATCTGTAATCACAGTGCTTGGAAAGCTGAACATAGGAGGATCACTACAAGTCTGATTTGTGTAGTGAGATCCTGTAGACCCTGTACTAAATACATTAAAAAAAAAAAAAAAAAAGAAAATCTGAAGAAAAGGATCACAGGGCCATGTATGTACTATGGGATTACCTAGCCTGGCCTGAAGGAAATGTGTTCAGAGAAAGGAAAAGCTCAGGTCATTTTTCTTTTCCTTGTAGTATTACAGTTTGAACCCAGGGCCTTAACAGTTTGCTGTATCCCTGGCCTTTTTGTATTTTTTTTTTTTTGAGACAGGGTCTCACTAAGTCACTAAATTTCCCAGGCTGGGCTCAAACTTGTAACCCTCTTCACAGAATGCTGGGGTTCCAGGTGTGCCCCTGCACACCTGACCTAGATCTTTACTAAAGCTATAGGCACAGTAGCTAAGCTATTTCAAGAGGATACTCAAACTTAATGCCTACAGATAATTTAGAGGGTGGTGAGCTCTTTTTCCTTCTCTATTATTTACTGCTCTCATCCAATACAGAACACTTCTTTTGCCAGATATGTCAGTTCTCCCCTACTCTGAGCAGTTCTTCAACACCAGGTGTCCTACGGTTCAGTTCAGTTGTGACATTAATCAGTATTAGCACAGACTCACTAAGCTGAGGGCTTGGTTCCACAAAACTGCCCTCAAAATTCACTGCCATTGGTGAGTGGTTGGTGCCCAGGTTTCCTGCAACTTCTGCCCATCTTGGTTACAGATGGAAAATTGCTACATCCTCTTGGGTTCTGTCCTTGTTAGAAAAGCACACAAAAACCTATAGAAACACAGGATACAATTTATTGTAAAAGATATGACACAAGCTACCTATGAAGAGCCAGATGCCACCGCATGTAGGACATGTAAGAAGGGGCGTGGATCTTCCCTGATCTTTCTCACCCAACTACCTTCCAGGTACTTCCACATATTCAGTAACCCAGAAATTCTCCACACCTGGTCATTTTGGAGTTTCACAGAGACTTCATTACATAGGCAAGACTGATTACATCACTAGTCATTAGTAGTTAGCTC